GGGAGAAATTTGCAGAAGGGCTTGAACAAATCATTGAAGAGAAAAATGACAAGCCTAAAGTGGGTTACATGAACTTGCTTCTTATTACCTTAATACCTCTCTCCAAACCGGAAGAACAGAGCACCAGTTCCATTGTTGTGATCTACAGCATATTCAGCTCGTACTAAACCCAGTTTCACACCTACACCGTATGATGAACCTTGTCCCATTCTCCTGTAGACCGCTGTTGGGTTTCCCTTCACGTCCTTGGAGCTTCCCAAATCGTTTCCATGCTCAGCAAATGCGTAAACATGCGTGTTTTTCACAGGTATTCTGATCTCAGCACCGAGCTGCAATCCATGAAACAAATCAGACTCCCATTTTATCAGTTTGAGGGAAAAAGAATGTTTTTTTTTTTTTGTGTGCTTGATGTTTTACCTCGAGAATGTTTCTAGCTGCACCGAGCTCACCCATGTTGTAGCCACGGACAGAGTAAGGACCACCAAGGACAAAAGCATCATAGCTTGGAAGGTCACCAACACAGCCACCATAATGCCCATGGAGGACTAGAACTGGTGGCGGTGGTTTACCAGCACCTTCTTCTACTTGCTGCAGCTGAATAAATCTTGTCAGGGTTAGTTGGTGGCGGTTGAAGAACGGGAATTTGCTCCCAACACCCAGGCCTTGGTCAACCTACAATTTGCAAATAGAGAGTGTTGTAAAGCTTAAAGAGTATACATATTATAAGCATTTTTTTATCATTGCGTAAACAAACCTGAAAGACATTTCTCTCCCCAACAACAGCTCCATTAACGAACTTGGTGTTGTCACGGGTGATATTGGCTTGTAGAAAAGCCATGCGATCAATACCGGTACCACTGAGAGTTGTTGGAGGTCCATCAGCACTGATTCCTCCGCTAGGTAGTAGTCTCTGGCCATTTGCAGCGATGTGGCTGCTTTCATCTCGGGTTGTTATCTCCTCCATCACAAGCCCATATGTAAACTTACTCTGACGGGTGAAGTTCTGCATGAATATATGTTTAATAAGTGTTTGTAGGAAAAACCAAGTCGACTATGGCACTGAGTATTGGCAAGCTTACCTCAGTAATATTAGCTTTCAGACCAGCTCTATCAACCCAAATTGGAGGCACTTCCTCAACACCAGGTCCTCCAGTGAATACTGGGCTTAGTTTGCGGCTGTTGAAGCAGCTCATTTTAAATGTACGGTTACGAGGATTGTAAACACCGTCCAGATATGGGTGTACATACTCAAGCTTAAATGAAAGATCATCCTGCACACAGAAGCAATGATAGAGGGATGATAATAGAACAAAGAGTTGAGCCAGAGATTTATTAAAGATGTAAGCTGACCAAATATACCTGAGGATTCAAGAAGTTGCTAGTGGTAACTGAACCCATGAGAGACCTATTAAGACCCTGGAGGTTTCGATGTTCGAAAGTAACAGACCCTCCTGGCTGGAATGAAGCCTGATGCATATAAACAAGGACAAAGCAAAATCCAATTAAAATTTCAAATATGAAAATCTGCACTTACTCTAGTAAGGATTCATACCAGTGTGGGAGCTCCTCCACGTCCGGGAACAATACTCCATTCTGTACTGACTTCAGCTGACTTCTGTTCTAGCTCCTTAAGCTTGATCTCAACAATAATGCCCCCTTCGTTTTTCTCATCTGGGCGTGGATTGACTTCAATGTTAGAGAACAGCCCCAATGAATTGATGTTCCTGAGAGCTTGCTTCCCAGCTTCAATGTTGAAAACATAACCTTGGCGGAGCTATCAACAAAGCATATCACTATCACCAAAACTAACATAACAAATGATATATATTTGTATAGGCCAAAGCACAAATTAACACTGCAACTACGTAGTGTCTTTAAGGTTTAATAAATCAATGTATCAATCCTGGTCATCTGAGATCACTGAAGCTATTATACAGAACTAAATTCAACCAATGACACATTTGACGTGAGACACATACCTGCTTGGGCAATTCCCTGCGCACGACAGGAACTTGAGTGTTACCTTCAACCACATTACCAAGTTTATCTTGGAACTGGATAACTAGCTGCGTGATATCTCCTTCAACAACTTCACAAACAACTTCCTTAGTGTTCAAATTCCCAAAATTCACAACCTGTGCACAAGCATACCCTTCGTCGTGGTACCATTTCTGAACACGGTCCCTAATCTTCTGCAACAGTCTCGCACTCACTTTCCCTTGGTCTCTCAGCATCTGCATTACCTCTCCATACACAGGTGCAGGCAACAAACACGGTCTTGCCCTATCAATCCTCCGCTTGTAGTCCTTCTCCAAGCTCCTGTAATACTCAAGCTTCTCTTTATCTGTCATGTCTGTGTCCATCTCTATCGGCTTCGACTGCACCATTAGCCCTACATTGATACATCGGAACCTATCTGCAGATTGCCACGTGCTCTCCGCGAAGGAGATTGTGACACCTAGGGTTCCGTCAGGTTTCGTCTTCCCTTCCAAGTCGACTTTTTCAAACATCCCACAAGTAGCTAGGGTTTCAAGCTCCTTCTGTAACTGAGCTTTGGTGTAAACTCCACCTGGACGGATCGATACCATCTCGAAGAAGGAATCCTCCGTGCCAATCGTGGCTTGTCTCCTTCGGTCAAAGAACATAATGTCGGAGACTTTGTACTTTTTGAAACCACTGAGCTTGTTCAATTGCACAACGATGTTTGCAGGTAAACCGTGAGAATCCCAATCCGGTGACTGTTCCTCATCAGCAACCGCCGGTGCCGGAGAAAACAATTTCCCCCAAAATTCACCATCATTTCCGT